AAAATTGAAGAAAAATAAATAATTAAATACATAAATACAACATAAACCAAGTATAAGCAAGTATTTACTGGTGGAGGACGAATTTTACAGATCCCAGATTTCTCTGCAATTGGACGTATCTTGGCGATGTAGCCTAGGGGATCCTGAAACTCCTCCCATGACGGCTCAAATACTGGACACTCCGGAGGAGGTACAAATTCTTCCCCTTCCATCGCCCTGACAATAGGGAAATTGTCAAATCATACAAGTTAATAAACTCTAGCCCACTTAGTAATGTGCATGGCAGCAATGGAATGTGAAAAATATTTTATGTACATGAGTCTGTTAGTGTACACACAGCAATTTGAATACCCCCGGACCCAATTCATGACCTAGTGACCTTTATAGATACTACAGGACAGTCCAGTGTCAAGAATACTCACAAAACTATAAGTCAGTGTCATAATCATATTTACATACATGTTAAATATTTCATTAAATGCTCTCACTGACAGAAAATAAGAAAAAGTGGGCGGGCTGGTGACGTCAATTTTTGCAAAGGTATTCAGAAATGTCAATTGCACATCAGAAGAAAAAAAAAGACCCATACATGCGCAAATAGCCTATTTGCTTAGTCTTGCCAAATCATCACTTCCTTATTCTGCTCTCAGGTTTACATATATACAGATGTGTGATGATCATGTTGAAAACACTGTTTCTAGTATTCACAACAGTTTACACATTTCTTAATAATAACATATATCATGCTGGGAAATCCGAGGACTATGATATGTTTTTTACCCTTGAAGTGCTCCTTGTTAAAAACCCCTCCCCCATCATCAGACAACAAAACAAATGCCATGGTCTGGTAGGTCTAAAGGCCCAGTGTTGGAAGGGGCTAAGGTTTGAAGTTCTTCTGTATCATTTGTGCTACACAAGAATAATTAAATTTGATAAAACACACGAGTAATTTCTATATGAAAATGACCAAGAAGCACTGTTGTCAATGTGTACATTAAATATCTGTACCAGCCTGCAAAAAGTGTCAATCTAGTGCCTTAGCTTTTCAACGTTTCTATTTTTATTTTATTAAAATAAAAATAGAAAAGGAACTTGAAGCTGGGACTTCAGTAACATATTTTACATCCATCTAATCCCAAACAATGGCGTGGAGGCCATGAACCCTCAGATACAGAAGGCCTTGCAGCTATCACCACTCATGAGTGGGCTGGATTAGATTACTAAATATGACAAATACAATAACCTCTTTACAGAAGCCAAAGAATCACATCTAAACACCACTATTAAATAACACATGTAACTATTAGGTTATAACTGTTAGCTTCTACCAACTAAACTTAACATAACTGCCGTTTAAACGAACCTTACCTTCAACCAGAAGCGTAACGACAGAAATAAATTATCAGAAAATGCCTCCAGTTCCGTTATTTATAGTGGGTTATCTATGTGTCATTCATTTCTCATCTTCTGTAACCTAGGAACTCTATTTGTGTCTATTGTCCGGCTATCAGAGGCGATAACGCAGCTTGTGGCTAAACGCTAGCACCGAGGCCTGCACTTTTTTTCTCAGCTCCGTCCCATCGCCACCCACAGTGGTAGGTAACTAGCCTTAGTTAGCTAACTGGGCGGCTGAAAAAACTAAGTCAATACTACAGCCGCAGACCAGCTAACCTACATAATGTCGCTGAAGTCGACGCCAACACGCAGCTAGTGAACATTAATCGTATATATGCAAGTTGATATGCAGTTATCTGTTGATCTGATTACACTACAACATCTCGCTGCATTCCCGTGACTGACCCGAAGACACCTCGATGTCCCGGGGTATGATAGGGATTGTGGCCGCTCTCCTTCCTCTGTTGTTGTGATGACTGGTGGCTTAGCTAACGATGGCCAGCTGTGCTCGGTCCAGTTGGCTAGCTATCGCTGCTAGCAAAGTTGACCGTTTTTTTTAGCTTCAGCTCTCCATATACTCCGGTCTGTCAAGCATACGGGCTCAAAACATGGATTGCTGATGTTCGTTTAATACTAAACGAGGTTCTCAAACTTTGTCAATTATGTCGTTATCAGTCATTTTCCGATCAACATCATTACTCTCCTCAGGCCATCCTATCTTTCTTGACGAGACGCCATCTTAGCTTTTTTCTCACGACCGAAGTACAACCTCAAATCTCTCACGTCTCTCACGTTTACTCCCTGAAAGTAGTACCCACGTAGGCAAAACACAAAGCATGTAATTGCTGCGCGACCAGTTGGGGAAGAAGTAGGTCAGAAGAAGGGAGGTTCCAGTGTGTATTTAAGGGAGGAAAAAAGAAAAAAAAAGTTCACATCTGTGACGCCTGCGCTTCCGCAGCACATTAACAGGTCACTGGTAATGATCAGCACGATAGTGCTCTTCCGTTCTCTTCCAGAATTTCGGAAGGAATACGAAACATTAAATGTTAGCAGAAAAATGACAAGTTTAATAATGAAAAAAATAAATAAATAAACAAATCAATAACAGTATCAGACTTTCACCAGGTTGGTTCCTGGTTATTTATTGCTATGCAGATCTTCCTAAAAGTTTACCATCAGGCAACACTCTTTTGTCATGAAAAAGAAAGTTATGGTAAATAGGCTGTACTTATAAAGCACTTTCCTGGCACTTTAAGCTCTCAAGTGCTTTCATACTACAAGCCTCGTACACCCCTTCATTTACACACTCACTACTTTTATATACACACGCAGACACTCTGTTGGATGAATTTAGGCAGGAGTCAACAACTGAATCATCGACCTGAGTGGTAGACAACTCAGGCTACCTACTGAGCCACAGCCATGTGAGATAAGGCTCTATGTAGTCCTATGAAAAACAAAGTACACCCTATGATTGAGTAGCTTGTAGGCCTACCTTTAGCAGGTAGATTTACAAGTACAGGTAGATCTGGAGATCTATCTGTACCTGTAAATTAGGGATGGGGAAGATCTGCAAGTAATTGTTTTCTGTAAGACTCAGAAAACAAACAGCTCTCTTAAGGTTCTGCTGCAGCATTTTTTAGGTTGGATTGAGGTCTAGACTGGACTGATTGCAACTTTTTGTTTCTTTTCTTTCTCGGGGATTCTGTTGTAGATTTGTTGGTGTCCTCTTTCACAATCAGATTTCAGACAGGTGGTCTCACATTTGAGTCTAAAATACTTTGGCATTCAGATGGTGACTCAGAGAAATGTTGTTTTAATGCACCTTTAATGTAAATCTTCATCTTAGAGAGAAAAGGCTTTCTTCTGTCAGCTTTTCTAAACAAGTCAGTCTTTTTATTTTTTCTTGTACTTGTACTGTCCTGAATATTAACATGTAATATGCTAACTGTGGCCTGTAGCTGTTTCTTTGTTTCTTTTGCAAATTCTCTGACCATTTTCTGACCTTGGAGGGAATTTGCTGGGACATCCACTTCTGGGAAGAATGTCTTGAATGTTTTCCACTTGTGAATAATCTTTCTCACTGAAGAATTATGGAATGACCTTATAACTTCTTCCAGACTGATGTGTAGCAACAATTGCTTCTCTAAGGTCATTACTGATGCTTTTCCTTCTTGGCATCGAGTTAAGATACATCTGAATGTCCCAGATTGGCAAATTGGCCACACTTGCTGATCATCAGTTAATTAAGTGCTTTTGATTAGCAGCACCTGGATGCTACATCCATCCATTCGCTTCCGCTTATCCTTTCCAGGGTCACTATCGCTATCCCAGCTGTCATAGCGAGAGACGGGGTACACCCTGGACAGGTCACCAGTCTGTCGCAGGGCTAACACACAGAGACACAGACAACCATTCACTCACAGATTCACACCTATGGGCAATTTAGATTGATCAATTAACCTATCCCCACTACTGCATGTTTTTGGGCTGTGGGAGGAAGCCGGAGTACCCAGGGAGAACCCACACGAACACGGGGAGAACATGCAAACTCCACACAGAAAGACCCCAGCCTGATGGTGGAATTGAACTCAGGACCTTCTTGCTGTGCGGCAACAGTGCTAACCACCGTGCTGCCCACCTGGATGCTACATGCCCTCCTAATTCATATGGAATGAATCACATGAAAACTTTCTTTTGAAGGCTCTATATGCTTTTAGTATATGGCCATCAAAACTTTTATATATTAAAGCTATCTGAACTGACTGTAACATCATTCATTGTTAATATACCTGTAAAAATCACTTATTGTCATTTGGTCTGGTTTGGTCTCAGGGTGTTTGTGTTGCTTTAGAGTTTTGGTCTTGCCAGTTTCACTGTTCTTCTTATTCTCTTAAGTCTTTTTTTTAATGTATTACTCCTAGGTATAGTTTTTGATTTCTAATTGATATTCTCTGTTATTACACTTACCCTCTTTGGTCAGTTTATTAAGTACAATTTGTCTTAAGAACTGCCTTAATTCTTTTCTCACATAGATTAAAAATGATGATAGCATCCCACAGTGACTGCAGATTTGGAGCTTTTCTGGTTTCTAACCTCTTTAATGTCCCCTTGAATCTTGTTTGTGTGAGCTTTCTTGTCTTTGCATTTAGTTTGATTTTCATAATTCCTGTTCTATGCTGATAGGTTGTCATGTTTTGTTTCTGCTGTTTCCACTTCCCCAATCAGGCCCCTGTGTGCAGGTAGTCCTGCCTTGCTCTGTTTTGTCAGATCATGTTGTTTGTCATGAGTTGTCCATGTAAGTTTCCCATGTTCTTTGTTAGTTTTTGTTTCTGTGGAGTTTTTTCTCCCCTCACATTTTGTTGCATTATGGACTTTTATTATCAGATTTGTGATAACACTCACTTCTTGTTTTACATCATATTTTTGTAGCTGCATTTGGGTTGACTTGAGAACTGAAACGTGGAACGTAAACTTTTCCCCTTTGACTTTCATTATTACGTATATTCCTCTTTATCTAGGAACGACAATTCTGCTTATGTTGAATATTTAGTGGCGAGGTCTGTTTTAATGCACGTACAAAATACACACAAACACACATCACATCACTGCAAGGACACTTTAATGTATCAGAAGCAATAAATATTCACATCTCAATTCTCTATTCTTTCAGTACACATAGTACATACACAGAAAAAAACAAAATTGTTTCCTTAAAATAATATCCATAAGTGAACTGACATATAAACTTTTTTTAGGCTTTAATTTAAATCACGTTAACTCATTCTCTCACCCTTAGTCTGAAATGATAAGAAAAGAAAAAGAAGTTGATATTCCTTTTGGCCAACATCTCATATCCCTGTTTTTTATGTACATACTTAGTGGCACTCACATGCACGCACCTGAATACAGAATGGGAGCAGTTCATCCCATAGTTAAGATAAGAAGCCTATGTATATTATAATATGTACATTCAGGTTTATACAGTACAATCTATTCAATAAGTGCAGATATATTCATGCAAATAGAGTCAAAAAGGACACCATAAAGAAAAAAGTAGCCAACACATACTTATAAAATTCTTCATTTAATACTCCCGACTCTCTCCAAAACTTCTTAAAACCTACTTTTGATGATTCAGATCATCCAGAAATTTGGCATATTCTTCCTGTAGCTTACGTCACCTGCATTTTTATACTTCCCTTGCTCAAATATTCACGTCTGAATCCGATTATACACGCAGTTTTTCCTTTGTAATCAGTGGCACTGAAGGTAATCTACATCAGTGCTCAATTTTTACTTCAAAATCTGCAGTAGCAAAAGGAATGACACTAACACGAGGCCCACAGAGAAGGAAAAAAAAAAAGAACAGGAAATACAGTATGCACCTGTAGGCTATTTTACATTCTTGACTCTTGTTATGGTTTCTAACAAGAAGCCCTCAGCAAGATGCCAAGGCATCAGAAAACGGTAGCAGAGATTTCTGAAAGTAGCAGGAGAGGGAGGATTAGAAGAAGGCCATTTCTGACTTAAGACATCACGTGTGCAAAAACCACAAAACTTCATGTAAAAGCGTGCTTGTTTCAAAACAAAAAAACACACAATGAATAAATTTGATGAGCGCGATATGGGGCACTGCGTATGCACCCTGTATGAAAAATTCACCAATTTTTACGATCATAATTAAGCCTTTTAAAATACTGGGAGAGTCATAAGAAAAGAAAAAAAAATAAGGAAACACTAACTGAGATTCATTCTGTAGATTCAAGTTTTTGTCAAGTCACACCATTCAAGAGGTTGTGGCCCTGTTTGCAAACAGAACAGGAAAAAAAGAGGAATGGTGTAAATGTTCAAATCGATTTGAACAAAAACTAAACCTCCTTCTTTATCCTGAACAGTCAATAATACTAATCATTAAAAGATGAACTGAATAAAACCATGGTACTATGAAAAGAACTCACACTTCACATATCTGAATACCCTCAACTGGATATGGCAAAGTGAGGGAATCTCTATGTGAATATACTCTCTAAAACCATGTACAAACATCTGCTGATATAATTACTCACTGATCAAAACAATTATTGGACAATATTCATCATACTCATGGCAGGTATATTATAATATCTATAAAACAGCAAGAAGCTTCATAAACATTCAAAATATATTATTATTTGTCTCATTGATTCCCATACCCCACGTTGCATTAGAAAGCCCGGTGACATCTGTTGACGTGTGAAAGACCAATAAGCAAAAGACTGTCAGAAAACTGTGCACTGGTTTTAGAAGTTTTAGACAAAGCAACATATCTGAGGTCTTCTTTTAGAAAAAAAAAAAGATGCCTGTCAGCAAAGCGTAACCTGCAAGAATGAACAGAGACATCATGAAGCCAAGTAAATTATTGCAAAGTCAAGGGGCAGTTTTTAATGCCAAACTCCGCTGGAATACATTTGGTGGTTCAGTCCTTATTTACATGCCCACGTAAGCAGGTGGATACCTATGGTCTCCAGTTTCCCAGTGCCACATTATCACATCTTTGTACTGTACATGTAAATAGTCTCATACAGACTCAACTAGACTCCAAACAATTAAAACTGAGGCAATATATCTAGATATAGATTTAGTTTCATCTTAAATATATGGCTATAGACTTCTCTGATTGTGTGTGGGGAAACGTGTGGTGTGTGTTTTTGTGTAATGTTGCACGCGTGTGTGTTTCTGTGGTGCCGGTTCAGGTTTCAAGGATGCGTCCACAGGCCGTGTCGTTTAACTCTAATTGTGCTTTCTGTCTCCGTCTACATATGTGGAAAACGGAGGTGAAAGTAACAGAGACGGAGCAAACTTCGTTTCCTCTTCTCAGTGGCGCTGCTGCTGTTACTTTCTGTCCTGGCAGATTTGGTTCTAGGCCTAGCTCTGCCCATCTCCTCCAATCTATCATCTGACCTTTGAACTCTGGAGCCCCACATCCTGCTCACACTACGGTACTTATCCGGTTGATAGGCTTGGATTTGGAGCTGCCCCCTGTACCGGTCGCTCCAGCCCCTGTCACCTGCGGCCCCTGCTGAGGCTGCCCGGGGTGCTGGGGGGGGTGAGGGGAGAGAGGTGTAAGAGGGGTAAGGGGGGACGAAGGGGGGGGTAAAGGGGAGTGTGGTGGGGGAGGGGGGATAGAAGAAAGAGGAGGGTACTGGGGCAGATACGGGCCGGCGGAGGCTGCGTGATGCGCATTGACGGTAGCGGATGGTAGATTGTGGGGCAGAGTGCCGAATATGAAGTGTGTTTGGTGGGTGCTGTGGCTGACTGGGTGTGGTGTGTGCGCGTGTCCTGGGTGGGTTTGGGAGTGTGCGTGGGGGTGGGAGAATGACAAGGTTAGTGGAGGTTTGGTACCAGGGCCGCCGGCCCCTCTGACAGAGTGTGTGGGCTGCACGTGGTAGAGGGCGAACTGTTGGTTCTGGGAATGTTGGGAGAGAGGAGAAAGGGGTGGGGGACATCCCACCACCATGTTGGCGTAACGACCCGGAAGCCCATGCTGGGAGAGCTGGGAGAGATGGGCCAGCTGCGGGTGCTGGGCGTGCGGTGGGCCAAGCGGTGGACGACAGGGTAGAGGGCCTCTCTGTATAGTATGAGGGGGCACTCCTGGCAAAGGAGGAGGGACAGTTTGGACATGGTAGCGATGGTGATGGTAGTAAGGTGGTGGCGGCTGCACGGTGCCCGCGTGACAGTATTGTGCGTGAAGTGCCTGGAGCTTGGTAGCCCCCCCTTCCAATTGGCATAGAGATGAAGGGGAGTGAGGAGGGGGCCCTCCCGTAGTCGGTGGGGGGACAGGTGCGGGGTAGGGTGGTCCCGGTGGAATAAGGGGCCCTGGTGGTTTGGCGCGTTTGCTGCCGAATAGGGAACCCAGGAAGGAACCGCTGTTGTTGTTGCTGCTCCCCCCAGGGCCGCTCCCCGCTCCTGCTCTCTCTGCACTGCTGGAGACTCCCCCAGCTCCTGTCCCAGCAGTGGTATGTTGCTGCCCCGGCCCACCCCCCACCCCCGTCCCGGGGCTCAGGATGGGGCGATGAGGCCGGAAGTCTTCTGTTCCATAGCAACCAGGAAGCACACCTGGCAGTGGATAGCGCTGGTGAGGCTGTGGGCTGCTAATGATGGAGCCCTAGAAGATAAAGTATCATCGAGTTTTAGTATAAAGACTCGAGTCTTGCAATACATCCCGGTTCCCGCTTATTATCACACACAGGAAATAATTGTATCTGGAGGTGGAAAACATGCTAGGGTAAGTATATACGCACATAGTCATGCAACAGGTGTCAGTCCAGGACACACACACATGCATGTACGCGCACACACCATGTACATACAGTACTTGCTCGGGAGGATAAAGAACCAATGGGGGAAAATGCAAATCTAGTGAAGGTTATAGGTCTAATTCTAGTCTTACATAAAGACTTACTTCCATTGTACTGTCCAGAGAACCAACACTGTTCCTGCGACCACGTTTCCCTGTACCCCACCAGGAAGAACCAGGTTAGCAAAGCATGAAAGATTGGAATATTTTTTGCAAAAAAAGGCAAGAGTTGCATAAGCTGTGTCTGACTGTCAGCAAGAAAGAGAAACAGGCTGTAGCAATAGAAACAGAGACCAAAATCATGCAACCCAATTCATCCCAGCTGGTAGTAATGTAATCAAGCTGACCCTGTCTCCGATGAGGCAATGTCTCACCTGTGTCCGATAGGTCCCTGAGAGAAGAGCTGAGCGCTGTGCGTTTGAGACCCTCACCAACTGAGCAATTGTCATCAAAACTCGTTCTTCCCAAGGTGCCATTCACAACATCGCTCTTCACACCTACGCCTCCTCCAACCACACCTCCAGTTAGCAAGCTGGGCCGCATCACACCTTTCTGTTTCTCCAGTTCCGCTGCACATTTACACACAGGGCACAGGGGGGATTGGAAATAAAATTGAGGCTTAGCACAGAGAAGAATGACCAGAAAGGATGTGAAGAAAACGAAACATTTTGACTGACCAAAAAGTAACATTATGGTTTACAGGAAAGGCCAGCAGATGGGGCTACTTACATTCAACTCTGTATTTCTCCATTTCTTGCACTTCAGCAATACTCTCCCTGAGGTCGCTAACAAAGCGGGTGCGGTCTTGCTGACTGGGTGCCATAAACACAATAAGAACCTTCCTCTCTCCACCCAGGACTGCTGAGGTCAGACGGATGCCATGAGGGTAGTCTAGATGGGGGGGGTGGGGGGGAGCAGAAATAAATACTCTTGTCATCACAAAATGCACTTAAGAACAGTTAGAAGGTGCAAAACAGAGATCGCTTCTTACATGAGTTCTGGAACATGTGCACTTGCATCTCAACCAAAGGGAAAGATTGTCTGAAACTATAAGTCACTGAGGTTTTCTTCTTCTGGAAGATTTTTGTCACCTAGTACACAATAGAAATAGTATAATGATTTTTTTTTAACAGGTACTTTAAGAAAAACTGACCTCTTATCTGCCACATGATAAAAAAAACGATAATGTAAATCTTACCACGAGCAGGTCATTAAAGAGAAAGACCTCCCGCTGGTGCACTCCTGTCCTCTGAGGTCTGTTAGGGTCAGGCACCTCATAGAGCTGGCAGCAACACACCAGTCTACGATGGGGAAGGGACAGCACCTACATAGACAAACACAGTACAAATAAATGACAACTTTTAGCTAAATAGAACGATATATTAAAGAGCTTTGTATTACAGGATAAACTCACAGGCTTCTTGCCCACAATGACTCTTTCCACTGCCTGTACTTGGGACACGTGGTCATCATTGGTCCTTAGCTCCCATTTCTGTATTCTCTGGTAGATCCCAACCAGCAGGTCTCTAGGTATGTCCTGGCCATTGTCTACACCTTGAGTGGAACCAAAGAAAGCTATTTTAGAGTTGTCACACAGAAAACGTATAATCTAGGAAATTCTCACAACTTTAGCCATATTTTAAAAGTTGCAATATGTGTTTCATGAGCTCATGTAGAGGGTAATTTGATCTTTTCTGTCCAGCAGCACCTCTCAAATTCTTGATGAAATCCTCTAGTTTCATTTTCCTCTCGGGTTTGACATTGGGACTGTACATATCTGTGTTGAGGAGGATTATGGCGAAGGCCAAGATGAAGATGGTGTCGGGATTCTGGAACTGTCGAACCAGGGTCGGATTACACACACAGTATCTCTGACTGAAGACAGAAACAAATTTTGTGTGAAAAAATAAAACAAAAAGATTATTTTCATTTTGATGCAGCATCCAAGCGACTGAAATGAATCCCTTTAGTGATCTATAACAAACCTGAATGCCTCTATAAGCCGCTCTACTTTTTGGGCTTCTCCTTGAACTTTAATCTGTGCCTGGAACTTCCTCAGAGCATCATCGATGTCCATGCCTGAGAAGTCCATCTCATCCACCACACAGCTGAAACACACATGTCAGAAGTTACAGATGACACGTCTCTACCCTCCAACTTGGATATTAAGAAAAATGAATCCTATATATGGGCAGGAGATTAAAGCTGCTTCAAGATTGCCTCAATTTAGACTTGGCATGAAATATGTGAGATGGAGTGTGCGTATACACTGACATATTTTTGGGCAAACTTTCTGAAGTTACAAATGTAGATGGATTTGGATCATTCAGACATCTGTGTCTGACACGTTTTAATATATTACAGCCGTCTGTCTCAAATACTCACTCTAAAACATCTTTGTTGAATTGTTTCTGTCGGTTTCCCAGAAATTCTCCAATCATCTGCCTGCTGAGACCCTTTCTCTCCAGAATGAAGCGAGCAATGCCAACAGGAGTGTCAGACACAAAACCTCTTTCTATCAGGTACTGGATCCCCTTCTCTGGTTTCCTGTTGAAGAAAACCCACCAAGGACATTTCTTTTTGCTCCAGTATTACGACATTCGACATATTTTTCTCAGTAAAACAGCTACTTGTGTTGTGTTTCTTAGTATGTCTTACTTGTTAAATAGATTAAGACCAATACGGTACTGGCGTCTCTGCACCACGTCACTGTTGAAGGGGGGCGAGTCCCAGCTATGGCGGCTCTCCCTCTGGTATGTCTGCTTGCCCAGAGGAGGCAGAGGCTCCCGCAGGCTGTCCTGAGATGAGGAGCCTGAGCTGCAGTTGACTGTCTCATTAGAGTTGGTCGTGGAGTTGAGTGAATCGTTGTCTCCATCGGAGCAGCACGGCTGCTCCAGGCCCCCAGGGGGCAGAGCTGTAGAGGAGGACGACGACAGAGGGGTGGTAGGAGGCTGCTGTGGGGACGAGGATGATGAAGGTGTGTCAGGGTACTGATGGTGGTGTATGGGGTGGTGGTGATGGTGGTGGTGGGCTGCCACCTGGTGCGGGATATGTGTGGGTATGGGTCTGCCAGGAGCTCGAGTCTGGCCCTGCGCAGCTGCTGTGGAGGTGGTTCGAGGACCTGTGTTGGGGGAGTGTTTGAGGGTTCCCTGAGGGGAACCTGCACCCACACCTGGCTCCTGCTCAAAGACCAGCGTTCTGCTCAGAGAGCCTCGGTCTGAACGATCACTCATGTCCACTGAGCTGTCGCTGGGCGGCTCAATAGTGAGGAGAGGCAGGTGTGCACCTCTGAGACGATAGTCTCTACACTCTGTACACGGGGTGCTTCGCCGACTGTTACTGCTGCCGCCTCCCTCAGTGTCCCTGCTGTCCTCTCGCCCTCCCACACCGCCACTAGGACCCCAGTACTCTGTATCTGTGCTGCTAGGTGCCCGGTCAAGGGACAGAGGGGAGGATGGCATACCATCATCCATATAAAGGGTGACATCACTGTATGAAGTAGCTGTACTGTCACCATGCATACTGAGTCCTCCTCCAGCACCCCTGCCTCTTTCTCCCAAACCTCTTTGGGAAGATGGGTTGCTGCTGCTGCTCCACACACACTCCCCAAAGTCTTCACTAATCCCTCCACCCTCCTTGCTGCCCTCCTGGGAGTCATCGCGACCTGCACGGCAGGTAAGGGCATCATCTATGGAGTCAGCTAAGGATTTAACCTAGAGGGAACAGAGGGTGAGCTGTTATGAGCGCACAGTTTTCACACATCTAAAAGAAAAGAGGAAATTGTCTAAACATGAAATGGTTTATCAGTAGTTTGCTTGTAAGGTCTAAGTTTGACAAGACAGGGGATGCTGGTCAAGTTTGGTTCATTATAATGTTTCTTTGTTACTTTCTGTCTCTGTGACTACCTTCATATTACATAAAACTTAGCATTAAATGAACTTGACGATGACTGCTGAAAGAAACTCACAACACTCTTACCTGCTTGGAGAAGGAGTCCTCTAAGTGGGTGTAGTCTCCTGTGCGGTCTGGATCAGGAGAGTGAGGAGGCCCCACGGCCACACTGTGGGTGAAGTTTGTTTGTGTCTGGGCCTGCTGCTGAGGCTGGCGCTCATCAAACGAATACTGCAGTCTCATGTTGGACAGGATGATGCGGCGCGTCATGCGGCTCTCTGAAGCTGAGCTTCTGAGGCGCTCAAAGTTTTTGTTCATGCGATACTGTCTGAAGGCTGTCTGAATGGTCTTTGCTGCTCTGCGACTTACAAAGGAGCCACCATATTTTCTCTCCAACATCTCCACCTGAAATAGAGGAGGGTTAAAAAAACACAAGGTAAAGGACGGAATCACAGTCTGAATGCTTTGCACCCATACTGCTCCAGTGAAAATATGTTTCCTACTGCTTACTGCTTTCAAAGAACACATTTACAAATATATTCTTGCGACTGATACCTTCTTATCCTGCAGATCTGTCGATAGTTCATAGCTGTCTGAAAGAGCCTTGCATCTCTTGTTCTCCTCTTCTTCTTGCTTGCGAAGAGCCAAACTTGCAGGTTGGTGGCGTGTTCGCAACGCCCAGGCCAAGCTGGCTGAGCTGGAAGCTGTAACGCATGAAGGGCCCCTGGAACCGGAGGGAGCGTTGCTGCTGCTGTCACTGTAGCGCTCTGAGCCTCGAAGGTAAGGCGTCTGGCTGAACGAGGTGTCTTTGTGGGTGCCCGTTTCTGGACACTGGGATTCCCCTTCCACACTGCAGAAGAAAAAGGAGCAGAAGCTATAAGAACGACTCACAAGCAGCTTCACTAAATATTCCAAAAAAAAGACTTTGAAGTGTGTTAAGTCTTAAATGGAGACTGAATGAAAAATTCTGTAGGATAGACTTAAAAACATACTAACAAGGACTTACGGGTAAACTTTTGAGCGGTGCAGAACTAACCATCTCTTAGTGGAGCTCATGATGAACTTATAGAAAAGCAATATTCTGGTTACTTTCAAGCAGTGCCAGTCCCAAGACCTGACAATATTGCTTGCCTGGAGAATAAATAGGTAATCCAACAGATATAAAAGGTCTCTGTCATGTATCGTCTTTCTTAAGAGTCCAGAGGAGTAGTTAATGTACTACCAAGCGTTTCCAAGGTTAGTAGTGTTTATGCACTTTTGCACTCTCCTTGTTTGACAAACATAACAGTAACCAAATAAGTGCCAAATACCAGCAGCACCATGCTGACAGGAAAAAACAGGTTAGCGCTAGCTGTACGACAGGCACCATCAGCTTAAATACTGGAATTAAATTCACGCAATTCCTTCCAAACTCACTCACTCAGTCCATTATGCGGCTGTAAATGCAAGCAGTTAAGAGTACCGTCGTAATCCAACTGAATCCTATTTCCAGTCAGGATAGCAATAACAACAAAACCTCTCAGATATCAGTTAGTCCCAGAAGTCCTTCAGTGTCCTGTTATCCAGATTTGATGAGACAAAATCCACCCGAGTCAATCACTCAGTGTGTGTTTAGGAGAACAACTGCTGTCACATGTCCCTGCCTACATTTCCTTCTTGTGTTAGCCGCACCCCCTTCAGAAAGTTGTGTCCTGTCCCGCAACAAGGCACAGAGTGTGCAGCAAGGGTCAAGGATGTGTGGGAGCATTAGAGTCAGCAAGTGAAACAGATTTTGGCAGTAAAAGACTGGTTTTATAGTGTTAACCTTCCGTATTGTTTAAGCTCTGCATCACACAGTAATTCACATGATAGAAACATGACTGAAAAATGACTCTTTTGACCATTTTAGGTTTGAGTGGGTCACTCAGTGTCCTCCTCCCTCCCTCCCTGAGCTGTCGCTGTTCCATTGGATCAAAGAGACTTCCTGTTGTTAGTTTAGTTGGTAAAAACAAGACAAGGAAAAGTCTTCACGGGCAACAAGGAAACTATTTTAATTTGTTTTGGTTTTGATGTTGTAAGCGATACTGTTGAAATTCAAGCCCCGCAGTTCGACCGACTTAGAGTCGTTGCTGTCGCCAGAAGGGGAAAATAAAGGGCAGGGTTTTTAAGAAGGACATCCAGTGCCTTCAAGCAAAACATGACCTAACTAATTTATTGTTGAGTCTAACAACAACTCTAAGAAAAGCTTTAATATGTTGCATAACACAAGAGTCATGTTGAAACACAGTTTTAAAGAAGCAATTCTGACATCTACAGGATAGCCCATATTACCACAGTTAAGACAGGATCCACATATATTATATTGTGAATGTGTAATAATATATTATAATTACACCGTGCTCAAGAAATTCATCACAATACCAAGCTATGCTTTGCTTTCATTTTCAACAAGTTTTTGCGTATACCTCCTCTTTCTCTGTGCAACATCATTTATCATTCCTCCTCCGCTCCTTAAATAGAGAAACTGAGAAGCGGGAGGGGGTTGCTTGGTGACGGTTGCTGTGGGACCTTTGTGGGCGGTTGTTAGGAAGAGAAGCGTGGTTACCATGACAATGTATTGACTGTTATCACCATTTCGGTGGGTGTTGAAGATGCTCCACAGGTTGTGAATGACGGTCTACGTAATAGTTGCCTTTTTACGAAAACACTAAAAGTAAGATATTTGTAAAGAGTGAATCATGAAATTACTGTATGGTCTAAACTTGCTATTTTCGATAGATCAATCCTTGGATGAATCGTTACTATATTTATGTTGGTTATTTACACATTGTCTTGCATAACCTGTAGGAATATGAAATTCTGTCTAATTCAAAGCGGCTTCAGTTGGCTTCTTTTAAGGAAACTGGCCACACAAGTGCCTCTGCATAGCATCAACAGGTAGACTACTGTATGATTTCCAGCTTTGCACGTCACTTGGAACAAATGCTACTTTCATTCAACCGCGTACCTAAAATATGAACTGAAAAGGAATATTAGAGAACTACAAGTCCAGTTCCATATACCTGTCTCTGAAAAGGCATAGCTGATCCCCAGATTTGAGCTTTTAAGCTCTTTTAAACTCATTAAAAAGGAAAATCTAAAAATGCAAACCAAATGTAAAGGTCACAATTTCTCCACTGCCACCAAATAAGAGATCAACTATATGGACTATGTGACCATATAACTGTGTTATTCATTTGCACAGACTGTATGCTATAAGACGGGTGCAAATATCACAGATTCTTTCTTTGTTTGAGCGTGGGGAGAACATTTGTCACACTGTAAAATATCCAGGTTGTTAAAATATTAAAGAAAACATTTTTAAAAAATTCTCCTATCTAGGTGCAGTGCAACCCACGTCCAACTGTGCATGCAATGCTCCCTTAAAACTCTGGCTATTTTTATTTTCACCTGAAAAAAAAAAGATTTTCTCTCAGATTCAGTCAATAACAGCTACAAAACGATAATGCCAAACTGCACAAGCTTCGGCTCAAATATCCGAGAGATATTTGGGAGACATTTGAAATATATAATGCAATTTCTTTTAGCCCTCATCAGATCACAATAATGTTTTAAACCCTTCAGTAATTGTTTTTTCTTACTTCACAAATAGCCTAAATAAAATCCTCAGAATATGTCACTAAAGCAGACACTGATGCTATCAAACCTGTTCTAAAACTGAACTGAAATGCAACCTCAACAAAGTTTATGCAACAGAAATGAAGCACAGCAGGCCCTATAGAAATGCTACACTTAGGCAGCCTCTTTACTGAATGTGCAACTTTCAAAAAACAAAAAAATAACAGCTGGTTATGTTTTACAGTTACTGCCTGCTGGTGCAGGGACCTCCCCAGGGGGAAAGAGTTTAATTTGGAGTTCCCTGCAGTAGGAGCCAGGCAGTAATATGCGGGAAGAGACAAGACCATGATATCTGAGTAAAACGTTTGTTGTATAAAACATGAGTGTGGCCATATCGCAGCTGGCATCTGAATCTCATTATTTATGTAGGAAACACTGTATTCCTGTTACACAGAGAGGCTCTCTCTAGAGGCTTCCGCATAAAGACCAGCCCAGGGTTTTACTACCTCCTATCATTTAATTGGAGATGGGACAGATGGCTGGAATTTCATAAACAGGAAAGAGACTGCTGATGGTGTTTTAAAAAATTACAGAAGTGGGTTATAGAAGTGAAATTGATAACAGGGCAGATGAGAGAAAGTGAAAAGTGTATGGGAGCATGCGCTGTAAAGGACAATGCCAACTTCATGCAATCCCCCGCCTTTTTTCCCTTCATCATATAATATTGATGTGCTGACGGTGTGTGTATGTGTGTTTGCCTATGCGCTTATGAGAGAACAGCAGTAGGTCCGACTGTGCTATCGAACCCCCATCGGGACATGGAGGCTGAGGGATTAGCCTCTCCGCTGTCTGCAATGAGATGCCAATAATTGCATCGATCTGAACGTTGACTCATTTCCACCTGAGCATAGACTCGGCGCAGTTATCTCATATCCTTTCTAATCTCTTCATCGCTGAGTTTTTGTGTTAATTTTTCCATTTGTCTCCGAGCTTATTACCCAGTATAACCCCGCCAAGCTGAATGTGGACAACGAAGGATAAAAAGTGCAGCGCAGACCTTCAACAAGATCCAAGCTAATTACTTTGGAGATGTGATGTGATAATATTTGCCATTAATTTCAGGACTTAAAGAGATCAGAAACCACAGAAATGAATCCTCAGCCGGAGCAGTCAGTATTCTCTTTCATGGCCAAACTGAAAGGAAACAATAAAATCATTCATGGGTCAAATCGGAGCATTCCTGCACCGCCAACACTCTCCAGCCATTTCACCATCTCAACCCATGAGCTTCCCATCGCACACATGAACACTTTACACTTTCTTCCTACTACCTGGAGCCTCCAGTTCAAAGCCCAATAAAGAGGTACTTGATGAAAATGTTGTACAACTTGTTTGGAAGGCTGAGAATTGGCAGCATTTCTTAAACCTTAACTCATCAGATAATCTCTGGCACTAAAGCAAAAAAGAATGAAGAGATAAGTGTTGTATAAAGAGACAGGGTGACAAGATAGTGTAAACTTTTATTGGAAACTGACTTCGTTTTCTCGTCTCTTATTACACTTGCAGTTCTGAGCTTGGCATCTGTTTTTGAAACTTCCTTTTACTGTCAAGCTCGACTGATTCACTTTCAGGTTGGGTACAGCTGATTTGGCATTTAGCATCTTGTGAACACACTTCAAAGTGCTGCAAAGTGCTGACAACTCCTGCTACTAGGCATTCAAACTAACATGCCAAACATTTGCGAGGGCGTTTTAACTAATTTACTTAAAGTCATTTCTTTCAAACAGACCCCATATGGCACATGGTTATATGCTTTCTTTGCAGTTCCTCAAGAGCAGCACTCATAACAGTGGCAGATTACCAAGACTAAAAGTATGTGAATCTGTCAGCTGACTGGCATTTACACTCTGTCACACAATTACCCATCAGAGCCCATTTATATCCTTTCCTTTCCATTTTTAAGTTTATCAAATTGAGTTTCCCTCAATAAAATTGCATCTAGTGCAAACAGACCCCCATTTATTATCAGTTCCCGCTGCCGTCTGTCTGTGATGGTTAACTATCACCGTCTGTACACACAGCAGTTAATCCACTGTACAAGCCATGTCATGAATTCGCACCACTGCATTGTAGGCCGCCAAAAGCACACACCGGTGTTACAAGTTGTCTCATACAGATGCCAAAATAAAGTCTTTTTGGGGTAGTTTTACACGTAAAAGAAAAGTGAAAAAGCTGAGTTCTTACCATGCTGCT